TTGGTTACATTCCTCACAATGCTTGAACACTCCCAGTGTTTCAGTTCCTGTTGTCTAGCTTCCTGACCCTTTGATTAGCTCATCTTTGTTTCAAATCATTTGTTGACAGTTTGTTCTCATATGAGGTAGTTCTATTGTTATGAGTTGGGCCTCTCTCAACCTCAAAATTTAAATGTGGTTTTCCTCACCATAGGTCCTAGAGATTTTCTTTTCTGTAATTCATCATGAGTTGTTTGAATATGCTGTGATATTTAGTTAAAAAAATTACCTTTTTTTTGGCGGGAGGGCTTATGTATCCCTTGAGCAACAATGTTGAAGATAATTTAAGAATTTGAGTGGATTATTTATTGACCTCAACTTCAGAAATAATGCTGAATAGTACTGGTGGTAGTGGCTTTTTCTTTTATTATGATGGTATCTTTAATATTTAAATAATAAGTCACTTACTCTTGACTTTAGATAAGGAATCTTTATCATACTTACATAATCATTGAATTCCAGTATCATTTTGTTTCATTTAGATTTTTATAAGAAATCGTTGTTAGGTAATCAAGGGCATTTTCTACTTTGTGTGTGTGTGTATACATACATATATGGTCTTGTTATGCATCATATATCACTTGTTATGCATCATAGAGTTAGAGAGTGACTAAGGAGGATAGAAGGAGAATTGATGCCTTTGAGCTGTGGTGCTGGAGAAGAGTACTGAGGGTACCATAGACTGCTAGGAAAACAAACAGATTCATCCTGGAAAGGGTTAAACCAGGAGGCTCCTTGGAGGCAAGGATTCTGAGGCTCCGTCTAACATTCTTTGGACACGTTGTGAGGAGAGACCGGTCCTTGTAGAAGGACATCATGCTTGGGAGGGTGGAGGGACAGTGCAGGAGGGGAAGGCTCTCTCTGAGGTGGATTGATTCAGTGATTGGGAGTGTCAGAGGCAATGCGATTGGCACAGGACAGGGCAGAGTTTAGAGCTGTACATAGGGTCGCTATGAGTCACAAGCGATATGACAGCACATAACAACAACTCACACACACACACACACACACATACATATTAAGATGTGGGCATAAGACTTGTATAAATGCAATTTCCTATTTTTAACTACCTTTTAAATTTCTAGCACAGATTCTAATAGGTCATGATGAATAATTTTGTTTTCTTATGTTGTATTATTTATTTATTGGCTTTCATCTTAAATTTTTTATTAAATACTTTTTGGCTTTCATTTTATTTTCTATGATCTGGACTAGTTTAATAATTTCAATAGAAATTTTTATTTCAACTCTAATTGCCTCTGAAACCTATTTTTAATCAACCCTCTAAAATAAAGCAGATGATTATAATTTAGGCTCCCACTTAAACAATGAGAGAGAAAGACATAATTTTAAAGTGTTTTTTTTGGTTTTGTTTCTTTTCTTTTTTTTCTTTATTGATTCCTTTCTTTGATTTTTCCTTTCTAATAGACACTATCCCTGAGGGCTCATGAATATTTCAGTCCTAGAATAAAGAGGTCTTCTTTCTACATATAATAAATAATTAAGCTTCTCTTAAAATAGCCGCAGAGGCTGGATCCCATCGTTTTTTCCTTTTATGAATAAGCTTCCTCCTAGCACCATTAAACTTTTGCAGTGTTCACGCTTTATAAACATACTTTTTATTCCTCAGCTCCCTTAACCCTTATTGGGTGTTGTTGCCATTGTCATTAGGGTCTCTTGAATTGCTCCTGGCTCATAGCAACCCCATGTAGAACAGAAGCAAATGCTCTGTTGGTGCTGCCCAATTCTCACCATCTCTGCTGTCCTTAAACCCACTGTGAAGCTACTGAGCCAATCCAGTTAAAAAGCCCCCAGGTAAGCCTCGGAGGATAGGCCTGGTGATCTCTTTCTAAAAGTCAAAGCCCATGGAGCTCTTCTGACATGAGCACAGTGGTGGCCGTGCGCTGAAGTTCACTTCAATTACTATAGTAACAATACTCTCCGATATAATATGAAAATGAGAAATACTTAAGATATATTATGAAAGTTATGGTGTTTGTGTAATAAGCAGATGATTAACATATAGATAAAATGTAATTGGGATAAAAAATTCTGGATAAAAGCCTTAATATCACAGAGAGTATTTTTTACATTTTTCCCAATTGTTGCATATGTATCACACAATTCTAGCACAAATTTCAATTTGATGAGATTTATACTTTCAAAGTTCACAAGAAAGAAGATACATTTGAAAATTAGCAAAATTTATTTTTCAATAGTTTGAAAATAAGATTTGTTGGTTTAAAGCACTTACCTAATAAGGTAATTTGGGGATATTAACACTTTAATGTGTATTTAAACAAAATATGTGTAATGCATCTAGAAATGGATGGATGATTTGTGGAAGAGAAAGCTGTTTGTGTAGAAGGGTCATCCATACATTACACAGCAGTCCCCAGTTGGGTGGTGTAATAACAGTTATGTGTGCTCAGCTAATAACTCAGAGGTTGCCTGTTTGATCACAGCCAGATGGGCCCCAGAAGATAGGCCGCAGTCTCAAAGCCCTATGGGCAGTTCTGCTTTGAACACATAGGAGGCCCTATGAGTCTGAATCGACTGACAGCGTAGATAATAGAGTTCACGATTGATTCAGTGACTGGGGTAATCGGGATGGGTGTGTCAGAGGCAGTGTGATTGGCACAGGATAGAGCAGGGTTTAGGGTCGCTATGAGTTGCAAATGACTCGACGGCACATAACAACAACAAAGACAGGATGGACTTGTTTGTTCTCTTGGTAGTCTATGGTATATTCAGCACTCTTTTCCAGGACTGCAACTCAAAGGCATCAATCCTCCTTCTATCATCCCTAGTTATTGTCCAGCTCTCTGAAACATAGCAAGCAATTTTGAAAACTATGACCTGGATCAGGCACACCTTAGTCTCCATACTGACATCTTTACTCTTTAGTACTCTGGAGAGTTACATTATAGCAGACTTTCCAAATGCAATTTGTCTTTTGATTTCCTGGCTGCTGGTACCAAGAGTGGTAATTGTGGAGCCAAGCAAAATAAAGCTGTTAACATCTCAATCTCTTCACCATCTATTATAATGCTGACATACATCAATTATTTTTTAGATAATCTCAGTGGTATTAATTCACTTGTCTTGAACATTTCAGTGATGTTTTTTCTCACCAGATATGTCTCTATAACTGTGATGTATAGTTACTAACAGAATGATGTGCATAAATACTTATTGATATATCATGGTCCAATATTTGAAACAAAGATATGTACATGGTATTGTATATAGCATGTGATATCATATTGGCTGTATTGTGTAAGAGAAATTGTTTTCAGATTAGGAAAAATAAATAGGGTAAAAAAGAAGCTGAATAATATCTCAGTGGTGAGAATCTTTTCATGGAATAAATCCATTTTTGTAAGGGTACTGACTTGCTTGATTACTATCCTAAGATTTTTATGAAGGAAAATGAATTTTAGAGTCAAAAGAAGGATAGGCGTACTTCCTTTTTTATGAAGCATGCTCACACTCTTCCTCTTGTCTTTACCATTACCCTCTCTCTGTCTTTGGGAATCTCAAAACCTGAAATCAAGCTTTCTTGATTCTTTTTAGAATTTTCTCTTTACTTGTATATACTCTGCATGCTTTTTTCTGATGCGTGCCGTTTTCTTCTTATATTAGAGCATAAGCTCTCAAGTGTAGAGGGACATACACCACTTTAGCTTTACAATATTTAGTAGCTTCAAAATTGGAGGTTTACTAATGCTTCCTAGATTAACTTAAATATAATTCTAGTTTATCACACTGTCTGTCAAGGAAATGACCAAATATACATACCATCACCTAACCTGGCATTTTGTTTCTCAAATCTATGTATGATCATGATATCTTATTCTAAGACCTTGATCAAATCAACCTCATCCCATTTCTCCCCCAATAGTTTCTTAGCAATTACTTTGTGGATTAAATATCTGGTTGATTCATGTGAAATGGAATTGCATTTGAAGTCATATTGATTCTTTGCCCTAGTTTTTCAGCTGCAAAAAGCAAAGTACTTGCTGCAGTAAGTGCTGAACATTTTAAAAACAAAATCTAATGAGGTTAGTCTCTTTCTCTGACATTTTAGTTTCAACCAACTGAAGGTCACAACTGAAAGCCTGCAAATAGGACTCAGCACAGCAAGTAAACAACACTGTTATTTTACAAAGAAATGGAAATATTGTTTTTTATAGCCTCTTATATCTAAAAGGTTATTTGCCATTGCACTTTCTTTGGGCACTCAAATAATTTAGTTTTCCTCCCTTTCTTAGGTTTTGGAACCTAAGAGTGCTAGCATGCACAGGTTATAGGGACACGTTATCTATCCATCAGGAACTAACAGGATGTGCGCTTATAATTCTAGCATTTTACCGTCTGAATGTTTACACTTAACTCTTCAATCTACTCAGTATTGTTGAGTGGTAAAGATTTGGTGAAATTTGGTATTTAATCAGCTTTCTTTATTTGGTAACTTCCTTCAGACTCCAGAAGTTTTCTTTACCATATATATTCAGAATTCCAACTCACTCACGTTTTGTTCTAGGAATTAAACTGAATACATATCATTTAAACAAACAAACAAACAAAATCAAAGTGGTTTAGGAAAGAAGCAATTTGATTATGCTTAAGTAGTGGGTGAAGCATCTACCTTTCAGGCATAGTGCACGGAAGAAAATTTTAACTGTTTTCATTTTACATCTCAGTACACAACATTGAATGAAGCATTAAATGCATTCCTACTAGATCAAGATGGTTTAAATATTAAAGTAATTGAATTCACAGAAGAAGACCATAAAACTAGCAAACCTCAAATACCATAACTATTTAAATATAGTCATTTTATACTCCCGTCCAGTTAATATATTTCCTGAAGGCAAAATATTCCAAATATGAAAATCTGTTACCTTTGAAATTGAATATGAAACAAATTGTCTAATCTAGATTTTCTTTCACTGTAGATGAACTCACAAATTCATCAGAAACTAGGCTGTCTTTAGATGACCTCTTCCGGAAAGACTTTGCGCTTCATGATCCAGAAGCTCGGTGGATCAATGGTATGTGTGTGACTTTTTAAATATACTCTCTTTTCGTGAGTTCTGCTTTATTCAAATTCAAATAAGTATCAGTGCATGTACTTTATATGTGAAAGGTGGCTATACTTCAAAGAAAGCATATGTTATTTAATAGCATATAAATACCACTTATATTCGCATCTGAAGGGAAAAAAAATCCCAAGATAGATTATCAATAATAATTATCTTGTTAATATTAGGTTAACTACTCTCTCTATATGCACTTGCTACATTATCATTAGATATGTGACCTTAAGAATGTGTTAAGACTCATTACCCTGCATAATCTGATAATTCTTGGTATAATAGTTACAATGTGGATTTTAGAAATCTGTATATCATCCTTTATGTTGGTAAAGGCTTGACATACAGTGATCTAATTAGCTTTCTCTTCTTGCTTTGTAACTTTCTATTTTCAGCTTAAGTGCTGCAAATTAGAGAGCTTCTTTGAAAAACTGAAATCACTTGTAAGTGACATAAATAAATGTATCACATAATCTCTTTTCCTAGCCTCACAAACAAGAAAAAAATATCTTCATGTTCTGATTTTATTATTTGAAAATGGTTTAAGAAGACATTTTTATTATAATGAGGAACAATGACAACAAACCAATCACTGAGTGAATCCATGGGCCTTGGCTTACCTTTAAGGATGATTATAGAATTAATGGGTGATATACTCATAAGGTATTCTGTTAAGAAAGTAAGAAAGGAAGCGAGCTTTCTAGTCCTCCAGTGTCCCGGTTTCCCTGACCATATGAATCTTGTTTGTTCCGTACTTCTTCTCTCTTTATTTTTAATTGAATAATTTTCTTTAATTTTGAAGCATAGATTAAGAAAATCTTTACTTTTATTTTTAATAAAAAAATCTCTCTTTTTCTATTGATTCTTTCTTTCAAATTTTAGTTAAGGATGTCATAACTGCAAAAGAAATAACTGATCGAATGAGTTACCTAATAAAAGAATAACAAGTAATTTAACTTATGGATGCAGGAAATAAATCATACTCCTTATGGAACAGTGAGGCAGCAGTCATTTAAGATTTACTTTTTGGATGAACAATTGGATATATGCAATAAAAATGTAATGTTGCTGCTACACAAATTCTAATTCTAGTGGAACTTGGTCAGAAGATAAATTTCTCCCATAATGGTAGCAATATATATGATAAGCAAGTTAGCCATTATATTAAGTCATTTAAAATGTTTACAAATTGAATATTGTCAGAATTTTACCTTTTCAATATTCTTATTTCATCTGAGTGTTGTAACTGTATGAAAGGCTGATAAAAAGAGTTATATATTTACAGATGTATCCCTAAGCACTAATCTTAAACATCAGTTACCTCATGTGCTATGATAATTCGTGTTAGTACTTACAACAGGTAACTACTGATGAGGAATGTGATCAACAGGGGATGTTAGAAAGAATTTGTTTGCATAGGTAGTTGTGAGTCCGTAGATTTGAAATATTGAATGATGTTTTTGTCTTATTTGGCTTGGTGATAGAAATGTATGTAACCTTTGATCTTAAAAATCAATAAAAAAATCATGCAGTCCACATTTCTTCCCTGGTTAGTTTGGCTTTTAAAAGAGACCAGTATTTCCCATGTATTGCTGTCATTTGGGTTGAGGCTCCAAAGGATTGGACCAATGTTTCAATACTGAACAAGGTGAAAAATTAAGCCACATTTCATGATCTATGATACCAGCTAATATATTTGGAGTCAGTCAGTTTGATGCTGTTAGTATTTTCTTTATCCATCGTTGGTAAGGGTAATCTTGAAAAGATATCCTAGGACAGACTGCAAGCTTAATGTTATACTCTCTCTAATATCTAAGATACACAGTGTTTATGGAATGTCTTACCATAAGACAAGCTTTTAAATAAGAACAAATCAGAATCAGAACCTTCAGGAGCATATAGTAGTAGCAGTGGTGTACCGTCGAATAAGAACCAACCCATAGCTGACCGTCCAGTGGATTTTCAGAGGCAGTTAATATCACGGGAGGAGATTGCCCATTCTACTCCCATGGAGTGGCTGGTGACCTCAAACAGCATGCCTTTGGGATTGCAGTACAGCTTCTTGCCACTAGGCCACCAGAGCCAGAAGCATATAGTCCTGTCTAAGCACCTTGGAGCAGTATGATTGTGCTGACAGAATATTGTGTGCCCTGGACTGCTTTTCTAGCAGAGGAATAGATTGACGCTCATTCTTTTCTCTCATTGAGCAGTTATCCTTTCGGGTTCACCATTTGACCTATTTGCATATTTGTCAGATAGCCAGGAAATACACTGGAAACTATATAAGCAGAAGATGAAAGCTTAACCTCATTATCACAGATCACATCTAAATGTAAAATGTGTGTTTTTTCTTTATTTCCTAGAGATGTTTCTTCAGGTTTTCTTAGTGACTTGAAATCTGAGCTAAACTCATGTAGAGGCCTTATTTAATACTTGGAGGTCACCAGGAAACAGTGCACTGCTGGTCCAGGGAAATTCAGGGGTCTAGAAGGTTCTGGTTGTCAGTAAAGTAAGGCCATTCATTATGCTGCTTCTTTGAGACCATATATCTAAGGATGTCACTGCGGCATAGGATGGGTGCTCAGTTCTTGGTTAGCTTAACAAGGCCTTTACCAACAAATCTACTCAGATCCTTGAAATCTTGGTCTTAATTCTTCCTACTGATATTATGTTGAAACCTGTGAGTCCATTTTCTCTATAATTATTAAATTCCCCGCATGTAGTAGATGACTAATTCATCATCAAAGCAAGAGCTGACATTGAGTGCTTTCTACATTAAACTATATGCTAATTGCTATATATATCTATCTTATAGGATGCCATATCACAGCATATGAGGTTGAAATCATTAACCCTGTGGGAGGGTGAAACTTGTGAAGAAAATTATACAAAGACGGAATTAATAAGCGTGGGAGCAATGCCAGTTTTAAAATATAAGGCTTACTCTCTCCTTTAGTTACTTCACTCTAACATACTATTCATTACTTTTAACACCTACATCAATTGTTTTTTAGATAATCTCAGTGGTATTAATTCACTTGTCTTGAACATTTCAGTGATGTTTTTGTCTCACCAGATATGTCTCTATAACTGTGATGTATAGTTACTAACAGAATGATGTACATAAATATTTATCGATATATTATGGTCTAATATTTGAAACAAAGATAAGTACATGATATTGTATATAGCATGTGATATCATATTGGCTGTATTGTGTAAGAGAAATTGTTTTCAGGTGACTAGATATTATTCAGCTTCTTTTTTTCCCTATTTATTTTTCCTAATCTTTATTCTTCTTTTATCTCTCCCTCCCCCTTTCCCCCTCCTTCTCCATCTCCCATCTCTCTCTCTCTCTCTGTGTGTGTGTGTGTGTCTGTGTCTGTGTGTGTGTGTATATATATATATATATATATATATATATATATATATCCCTATTGCCCCAGCCGCTATTGCCCCAGTTACTATATGTATACTGGGGGTTAGTGTGTCAAAATCAGTGAGACTGGCTTAGGACAGGGAAGGCTTCAGAGCTGCAGTACATAGGGTCACTATGGGTTGCAGGCAACTTGATGGCACATAACAACAGAACAACAACAATATATACTGTATAAAATATATGTTGCATTAGCTGGATCAATTTATTGTTTGGGATAATGGGATTAGATATGTCAGAGGCAACGAAGTTGGCTTAAGAAAGAGCAGATTTCAGAGCTATCATACAACGTGGGGTCACTATGAGTTGCAAGTAACTCAACAGCATATAACAACTGTGTGTGTGTGTGTGTGTGTGTGTGTGTAAGGGGGTTAAATTTAATAAAGAAGAAAGATAATCTCTCCTTTTTTTGTCTTGGGGTTCTACCAGTTCCCATGGCAGACTCTAAAGAAACAAACTTCATACTCTTCTCTTTTGTTTTCTAGACTTATCAGAAACAAGCCTCATCTGCCTTGCCTATGTTTTTACTTCATAGTGCATCTCAGGCAAATGGGTCTACTTATTATTCCTCACAACTCTCAAAGGCTGTGTGTTTCTGTGTGTTTGCCTGCCTGTTTTGTCTGGTGTCCTGGTGTGTGAGGAGTTGCATGGCCAATCCAAATGCAGTTGGTCCCATCTACCAGAGCTGCTCTGAGGAAAAAGATGAACCATCTCCTCCCATGTGACATGTAGGGTCTGAAAATTGAATGGTCAGCTATGAGTCAGTTCTGACTGGACAGCAATAAGTTGAATTGTTGACTCTTTCACAGTCTGAAAGCCCAGTGCTAGAAGCAATATTAATGACTATCCTTTTTTCTTTTAAGCTACAAATAATATCCTCTCTCTTTAAACTTTGGGACTATCTTCTTTTAGTTATCTAATATAAACATTTTTACTTTGATTTTAATTATAATGCTCCAATCTTTTCTTAGTCCTTTTAAACTACTATGAAATTTTACTTTTCTATTATTTCATTTGTGTGCTTTATCTTCACTTAGTATGTACTAGTGCTTTTAGAAATATAGTGAAAACAATGCTAGAAATACAAAGTCATAAATAGATATATTTTACTTATTATATTTAACAACCTAAAGTAATAGGAAGTTTAAAAATAA